TACCTGAAAGATGAGCCCAAGATTAGGTCTTTGGATCAGTTCACTGCCGATCCGTGGGATATGTTTTCCAAACCATTGATGACAGGAAACCGACGAAATGAAATGATAATCGCAGACATGGAGAGCAAGTCTGATACGGAAGATGAGAAGTCTTCGTCACTGATATTGTGTGGAACTGATAGTTGTGGTGAAGACAGGATGAGTGTCTCTGATCTCGATATCAACGAAAAGAACTCAGACTCTGGTTTGAGTTCAAGTGGCAGTAGTGTTATCTCATGGGACAGTTGTGACGCCCAAACTCTAGCAGCCATTGTGTCCACTACTTTGAAACAACAACTTCAATGTCAACCACCGATTAAATCAAATAAGAATCGAATTAAGAGCTCTTCTTCTCGGAGAACAACTGCAAAAATCTCCACTGACTTGAAAAACAATTGTTCAGTAAATCATCAAAACAGTCACATAAGTCATCATCAATTGAATCACTCCTCGCATATGATTCGCAAACATCATACCGAAGACGACGACTCGACCTCCACTCTCACCCCTCCCTCCTCTCCAGAGCCACAATTGAAAGTCAATTTGATTGACAGAACTGTTGAATACTTGAGCGAAGGAACTACTGTTCCGCTCAATATTGTCACCGCAGAAGCCATACCTTTGAACGACTCATCAGTCATTGCAATATCGGGTTCATCTAAAACGGACATGAGTTCCGACTCGCCATCCAATGTCTCGCCGCAGTGTAGTTCCCGATCCAGAGGTCGCTTTGAAATCAATCCCGACTCCAAACGCCGTATACATAAATGTCAGTTCAATGGATGCAAAAAAGTTTACACTAAATCATCCCATCTTAAGGCCCATCAAAGGACGCACACAGGTTTGCATACTATATATTAGTAACCATTCTTACAATCATTCTTACAACCATATCAATCATATCATATACACATCTTTTATTACTATTCAATTCATAGACAATATTTTTAACTGCAATTGAGAATTAAATTGTAGTTTATAGAATCACTCTAAATACTGTATTAGTTTTATTTTGAATAGTGATTATTAAAAATATATAAACTACTCTTCGAGGCATTTGATCTCAATTTGTCAATTGTTTGAATTTGCATTGAATGAAATGCCGTAAAAGTGTGAGATTAGTATTAATCTATGATATAATGATATAACGATATGGTTATATCAATACTACAATTGAACATGAGATATGATGAATGTTTTCATTGATATGTTGTTATGATTGACGTTTAGGTGAGAAGCCATACAAGTGCTCGTGGGAGGGATGCGAATGGCGTTTTGCCAGATCTGATGAATTGACTCGTCATTTCCGAAAGCATACGGGAAGTAAACCATTCAAATGCAGTCATTGTGAGAGATGTTTCTCCCGTTCCGACCATCTGGCCCTCCATATGAAGCGCCACCAGTGATGACCGATTTGTGCCAATTCTGCACATATTTGCTGTCATTATAACCAAAAGTTATGTTTTAGTCATCACTAGTGCAGTTGAGCCCTAGTCTCGCAAATGGGATATAAACGATCCCTTCATTCCTATCCCGAACGGGAATGGGAACAATATTTTGCTTACGGGAACTATTGGGAGCCCAACACAGGTATCCCATGAAATTGTCGTTTCAAATAAACTGCATTACAATAAGTTTCTACTCTATGTGTATATGCATTACTCCTATAGACCTTTCTGTACAGTACATCAATTGATACATATGATGCATATTATGACTAATCTATAATCA